TATGTACCTGTATACATATGTCAGGCAAATATAAACAATAATAGTTTGTCGAATATTGATGTACATAATGTTTTAAATATCAAGTACATCAACCCTATTAGTATTTACAGTCTGCTTTATATTTTCACACCTAAATAAGGTCAGAGATTTATTGGTCACATCCCGTGCAGTACCCCCTTCAATGATAGCGCCTAATTGACACTTAATATTCTTTTGTGTTCCGTTACACTTAAGGTTCAATATTTATATAACATTTTTGTATATCAGTTTTATTTTTTTTAACATTTAATCGATTGTAATGATTTTTTGTATAAATCTATTATCGAAAATAAAATTTTTGTGTTATTGGCAGACATGAGAAAATATAATGTTTCCGAAGACGACATCAGAAACAGAGCTAAGTGGAGGAAAAAGATAGAGAAGACTGACCCCAATACCATGTGGGATACACAGTAAGGAAGAGAGAGAAAGAGAGAGAGAGAGAGAAAGAAAGAGAGAGAGAAATTACAGTTTTCATTGAAAAAGTTGACGACTCCCTAGAGGCATATGCGGAAAGGAGCTATGAACACACCTACTAGTTTAATAAAATAAAATTATTTTAAAACTCTGTTATGAGTTATTTAAGCGAGACATTTTACTATTTTGTGAACTTTACAGGTCAATAAGGTCAAAGGTAAACGTGAAGTTGTTATACGTCGAAAAAATTAAGAGCATTAAGCCATTAACATTTTTGACGCTGCTAATAATAATTAATATAACAAATTTATATTTAAAATTATATTATTCATATTGATTTTTAATCGGAAAGTTACAGGATTACAGCAAAATAAATTAAGAATGAAGTACTCATTAAAATAATAGACATCCGTAATAAAACCAATAATATTATATTAATACGATAAAATGATATTGATACAGCTTTTAATGAATATAAATAATTAATGAAGTGTAAACCACAATTCATTTTAATTATATTAAAGATAAAAGTATAGAGAAAAAGGTAAAAAAAGTTCATCTACGTTGGTCTAGAAGAGAGCACGATTAAAAAACTCCTCCTCATCAACTTTAACGTCTCAATGGGTGTTAGGAATGTAAGAATATTGTCTCCATGGTGTTTCAATTACTTTCAAAAATAGTTACCTACTATTTAACAAACATACACGGATGTCGAATCCGAAATCATTCATCTATATGCAAATTTCCAAAGTATTGTACTAGCGAAATCCTTAGATAATTACGAATTCAACAATTGAATTTCACTGTATGACATTCACTAGTTACCCGATACTATAGAACGAAAACCTTATAATATTTAGATAAAATTAGTTCATTAGTATGTTCTTAAACTAGCAGAATATTGTACATTGCCTAAGTTTTATTTCCATCTCTAATACATTTTTTAATTTAAAGGCCATTGTACGCATACGAAGAACTGTCATTCAAAGCAGTCAACAATCTGCGTCAGCACTTAAAACACTAAAGCATCCTTCAATTAGCAAAAAAGGCTACTCCTTATAGGCTCTTAATTAACTCAGTATTATGTACACAACAATTAATCATTCGAAACCTATTGACGTTTATGACGTCAGAGTTGATAAGTCCTACAAATTGTCACTGATATCTGTATTTTAAAAACGCTCGTCAAAATTTTTTATAACAAATAATATATTTTATTGCCAAATAAATTTTTAATCCATTCTCAAAAAAAAAAAACATTTTAAAAATTAAGATAAATTAAAACAAGTGCAAAAAGTATACTTTAATAATATCTAATTAGTTAAGAACAATAGCGTGTAATACCAAACTAAAAAAATAATAATTAAAACAGTGCAATATGTAGATATAAAGAGACTGCATACAAATTTCAGGCGAGAAACCCCGCGATGATAACCTTGCAGCGTATGTAAAATTCAAGTAGCCGAGGAGAAAGATACAGAACGAGCGAATGCTATTATGAAACATGTTCACCTTTTGAAAGCTATTTTCTTAAACGTCTGTTCATCTACCCAGGTTGATATTGCATAAAATTTCCGAAATTATTGTCCGACCGTCGTTTCTTGACAAAAGAAATTTTGTTCTTTAGTGACCCAATTTCAAAGGTTGTATCTTGTCCTAATTCCAACGCAGCGCAATCTCGGTATAGATAATATTAGCTGTTAGTGAATACTGTTACTATTTAATTCAATACTTTCGTTACACAAATACCACATAGTATAACAGCATCATTATTAAATGTGCACATGTTAACAATTTTGTACTTATGTTTACAAACACACACACACAAGCTTTTTTGTGTATATATCAATGTGCTGGTGTGGGTTACTGTTTATGGCAGTTGTTACTCCATTTCTTAATTTTGCAAGAATATTAATTCTTAGCTTATTAAAATATATATATCTATAAAAGTCCTGATACAAGTGACTGTAACATATTATTTTATTCATAAAAAATCATAAGACGATCCTTCTACACCAAGTGTGCACTAAAACGGATTTAGGGACATCGAAAATTTCAATAATCCATTTGTTAATAATAAACAAGCTTTATACGACATGCTTCAATAGTAACATTAATTTCCACTGCTTATTCATATATGAAATATAAAACACAAATATCTAAAGCAAATGTTTGACTTTCTAAAATGACCATGTAAAAATATTTTTATGAAAACAAAGAAGTTCTAGCATGTAAATATTTCAAATCCGATTTCTTCGGACTTGGATTACTATTTATTTAACTATTGAGAATATAATACTTGTAAAAATAAAGTTATATCGACACTATAGAGTTCTTTGAACTTTTTTATATCGTCTGGCCATTTATATCTCAGAATCAAATGCTGATCTTTAATATAACGAAAGATTTAAGCAAGTATAATTTATAAATCGAATTTTCTTATCTGATTTCTCACGCCCCCGCCCTGTATAGCAATAATATTAGGGAAAAAATTGACAGCAAACGTCGTGAATGCAAAAGAATACCATAAAAAAAAGATTAACGATAAATATATATGTAAGAAAAAAATATATACAGTTGTGATCGAAAACTCTGTTTATAAAATACGAATAAATATTAAGAGTTTGAAGTGCATTCTTAAAATTATTTGACTTTTAGACATAGACATTAACATGCAACGGCTTAAAAGACATATTATTCTAATTCATGGTTTTTAATTCTACTAAACATGATTTATTGGTATTTGAAATCATTTACGTAATACATATGTAGGCATATATGTAAATATAAATTATTATTTCAGGTTTTTGACTGTCTCCTTTTCAGTGTTTCTCTGTTTTAAAATTCTAATAAATTCTTATATTACATTTGGAAATACTGAAACTGTAACCTTTTCAATAGGACTTCGACTATATAGCCAAAGAATGTTGTACCTCTACGTAAAAGGACATTTTATCCTGGAAACATGAACAGTTCATAAAATACATCATTTAAAAAAATCTAAAAATCGAATTTACCGTTAAAATCCAGAAATTACTCCAGTAAAGTTTAAAAATAACCAATTAAATTGACTATCTTGCGTCTATTGAAAAAATAATAAAATTTCCAAATTGTTATGAATTGGATTAATAGTATTAACAGGGAAAGAGAAATACTCGATCAAATAAAAATTGTATAGCAACACCTGAAGTTAATAAAGAAATGACAGCGACTCGACAAAGTTAGTACGCTAGTTCCCGACCAGAGTTGATTACTTCGTGAATTATGACATATACTTAATAATGTGTGCACTTGCTACCATACTCGTACTTTAGGCGACCATTAACAATGTAATATAAAACATAATGTTAACGACCGAAGAAGTTACGTGATAGGTTAATTAGAAGTCATAATTATCAAAAAGCAATCGATTTTGTTTCAGAATTCTGAAACATATTAAGAAATTGTAATAAATATTTCTCATCTAAAATACATATATATGAATGAAAACATTTTGAATGAATATATGTATATATCATTAATATTTAATTCACAGGGAAAGTATTGATACACGAATTATTTCTCGCTAGGTATACCTTGCATGTTTTCTACTAAAATCAATTTCGTTAAAGGTTCGCTGTCACTTTCGTTTGTATTTAGAAACAGCGGGGGAGAAAAAGACAATGTCTGCTTTTAAATTGTACCAAATATGAATCGGCGTATTAATGGATGCTTGCTTAATATTTGTACATCATAATGAGCAACGTAAATAAGTGTTAATATGTAAAAAAATAACTGTCAACACGAGATAAAATTCGATCTTCCGAAAATTATTGCTAAGATTAACTGCAAACGAATAGCTTCTACATTTCATTTAATAACGTACTGAAAATATTTATAGAATGAAATATGTATATTATTGGACTTGATATCATTATTTGAGTGTCACAAAAGATATCATTTTTGAGATCACGAAATCCTACGTGTGGTTGACGCGAAAATGGCACGTTACATGAAGCCTTACAATCTAGCACTCACCAGACTTAGGGGCATGGGCGCGGCGCGTCGCTCACGGGCGCACTCCTTTAGTTAAATGAATCCGTTACGAAATAGCGCCTCTCTTATCTCCATTTCCGTTACAAATAGTATGGTTCATTTAGTTAAAACTAGCCTACAATAATACCAATAAAGTCACGATTCAGTTACTAAAGACAGATCAATCGCCTACAAGGATTACATGAGTGAAACCTACACACTTTCCTCGCTTATTTTATTTTCGTACAGCTAGTGCTAAATCCGCTCAGTTAGTCGAACATGTATAAAGTCGTAAGTGAAATCACAACGGCATATTTCGTTATTAGGAAGGTTTTGGCACAGCGTTAGACAAGCTCACGAAAGCGGGGCGGTTTAGTTGTGAGGTCAGAGCCTGACGTGTTAGTGTCGTATAACGGGAGAGCGGTAGACAGCGGTGGCGAAAGGTCGGGGAAGCCGGGAGCACGGCTCGCCGAGAGCCGGGGCTCCGCTGACGTCAGCGACGGCTCGGCGCCGTAAGGCCCTACTCTCCAATGTCGCCGGCCAATTATTATTTTATATACACGAACAGGAACGGCGAGAAACAAAAGTCGAGGACGGCGGGGCGCGGGCGGAGAGCCTCGCCGCAGGAGCGACGCGCGGCGCCATCTAGCGAGCCACGGGGGCCGTCCCTGTGTACTGTTAGGGTCTGCGGATCGAATGGTCGGAAGCACAATCACTGGAGCTGCACTGTCACGATGGGTTACCGTACCGTGGTCAGAGCGTGGCTGCGTGTGGTGGTGGCGGTGGGGTGGGCCATGCTGTCAGGCGGCGCGGAGGATGCGCGGGCCGGGCATGGCGGGCTCCTGCTCGACACTGCGGTGCGGCCGGTGCGGGCGTCCGCGGCGCGCGCTGCACGCCACTGGGCCGCGCACCGCCCGCGCCCGCGCCCGCCGCCGCTGCGCGCGCACCTCCGCACCATCCACCGCGTGCACAGGGACCACACCGTCGACCGCCCACACAACACAACACACGCTATCTATCGATTGTCGACTTAGTTTGTTTCTGCATCTTTTGACTTGCTGTTATGCACTTTCTTTATTTTAATGGTAGTAGTAAGTAAAAAATGAAGACTGGCTGTGAACAATTTTTTTTGGATTCGTTTATTTCTTTGAATTTTTGTATTATTTTCGTTTGGCCCTTGCCAGAATCTGTTAAAAGTGAACATAATATTTTTCTGCATGGGTTTGATAATTTGCAACAACCAACTATAATTTATTATTTATGTATTTTTTTACGACCGTTCTACCTGGTAATTTAACAAGACATTTATTAGAAAATAAAACTCTCGTTAACTTGTGATAATTGGACTAAACGGTATGATTGTTAAGGTTACATTCTAAAAGTCAACTAAAATTTAATCATTCAATAACTGGTTAGTCAATTTCTGTTTTGTTTTTGTTTACTGCTACCAAAATAAAGGTCTATTTATACACAAAACGCAGAGAAAAGAGTTTTTATTTTGTTTCTTACATAAAAAATATTATTGCTTTATTTAATCATAAAATATTCATTTATCGACTTATAATTATAAGCATAAAAAATCTAAATTGATAAAAGCAACGAAAATCTTTTAGTCATATCATTCTTTTCACATTAAGGTATATATTTTTTTACTTCAGATATATTTATATGGCAACACTAGTGTGTTTTCAAACCTGTATTTAATATTCAAAAATCATTTAAAGTAAGAAAGACAAGCTTGAAAAGTAGGTATAAGGGTATGTCTGGGGCTATCTAAATTCGTTTTAAAATAATTTTGAGTTTCTCATATAATTGGTTAGAGGTAAAAATTTTTGTTTTCACTTGTGTCTATGACTTTAGGTGTATGTATGTTTGTAAATTTCGTGAAATGTAATGTTATTGTCGCGGTGGCCTAGAGGTTAAAAGTCCGCTTCTCGTGCATCAGGGCGCGGGTTCGAAACCTGGCAAGTACCAATGTGATTTTCCGAGTCATATGTACTTTCTAAGAGTATTTAGACACCCCTGACAGACGGCGAGGGGAAAACATCGTGAGGAAACTTGGACTTACAATTAAATATATATATATATATATATATATATATATATATATATATATATATATATATATATATATATATATATATATATATGTTTGAAATCGCTAACCCGCCTTGAGCAAGCGTGGTGATTAATGCTCAAACCTTCTCCGAGTGAAAAGAGGCCTTTGCTCAGAAGTGGGCTCTGATAGGCTGATGATGATGTTTAAAAAGTGCTTACATTTTCTTATCAAATCAAAGAAATGTTGTCGAGATTTCGGTTAATTATACATTTACCTTCATTTTGTACTCAAACAACTCAATCTTATTAGGATATATCTCAGAGTTTGACATAATAATGTGAAATTATTATTCTTTTTAAATATTCGAGATCGAAGAAACGGAATTGTATTAATTATTTTAGTTAAAATAGTAAATACCTAGATAAATATTAAAACTAACTGACCACGTAATAAATATGTATAAAACGACAAACTATTTCAGTTGCATATAAAGATAACAAGAGATCGTTCCTATTACAGAACCTTTGATCATAACATATTAAAACGTTGTTCTTGCGGCTTCTTTGAAAAAATGAAAATTTTATATTTCACATTGAAAACAATGTATTAACTGGTCTATAGAATAAGAAAACAAACTGACTCACAGACATCGTACTGCATTCAATCAGCGTACGATATCAATATGGGAATTCTATTTATTTAAATTACAATCGAATCCAAATATTAACATAAGTTTAATATTTAATATGTTCGATTGCAAAATATTAATAGATCAGCTAAAGCATATGGAATTTAATATATCTTCATATTATATATGTTGACGGCACTCTTTTCGTATGTCTTTAAAAATTGAACCTACAAATATACGTATACCTACACCTACACTTTATTGCTATTTAATTCTTATCTAGCAATATCTTTGCAATAACCAACATTATTTATTGAAGTATTTATTACTTATATATTTATATTTTATTACTTAACCTCTTAAAATATTTTTTTCTTTCCGGAACAAAGGAAATCTACTCCTTTATAAAGTATATTGTAACAATGTTTTTAAAATCATTCCCCAGGGAGGCATATACTCCGTATGTGGAATGACAAGGGAGAACAAGCCTTTCACTTACAATAGACCCAACAGTTCAGTGAGTTATAATGAATATTATCAGTTTTTGTTTGTACATGTATATAAAAATATTAATGACTAAATAGAAACATATAAATGTGTTCTCGGTTTATATAATTTATCATAAATTTTGAATACATATATAATAATTTAATAGATTTATGAAAACCTAAATACAACTTATAATACATAGGAATTCTTGAAATAACATTTTTTTGTTTGTTTTTAAGTAGTTGGTTCAAGTTTTGCCAATAGAGATGTAATGAGATGAAACCTCTCAGCATTCAATGTATTCACCGTGCGGGTGCCGGGTCCATCGTTGCAGGGAGAGTAGTTTCAACAGTGCCTGCGACTTGCGATAGGTGCGACAGGTGTAGGTTTACATTTCATATAGAGGTCTGTATATGATTCACGTAGCTTCTTAAACTATCCAACTCATAATATTAAAAAGCACAGTTATATTAGACAAAACTGTCTTGTTTGAGTACTTCAATTATCGATCGATGTATTTTATAAAATTTCTGTGACATAAAACCTATAAATTTTTATACTCAGAGTATAATATTCAAGTAATAAAGTACTCGTTATAAACAACTGCGGTTAAGTGGTTGATATTACAAATATTGCCATCAATTTATTATTAAATTTGCACAAAAATAATAAAGTCATGTTTATGATATTTTAAACATATTGTGTGCAGTTTACATATACATGGCAACATTTAAAATTTTTATATATAAATATGTCATTTGTCATTCCCTTATGATAGCCATGATCTTGTTAGTCGATAAAAATAAACTTCAAGGCTGTTAAGAATCAATAACAATATTATCGACACATGTTAGAAAAGTTTGTGACAGTAATATTATTGTAAAAAAATAATCGAATCAAACCAGATGAGATGAAATGCTTCCCACAGTATGCATTACGTACTTCACTGATCGCAGCGATTAAAATGAAGATTTTCCTTTTATACCGTTTGTAGAATTTAAGTTTGCTTTCCATGAATTGATTGTGACCGTATTTTATATCTTGCTATGTAATGTATGTTTAATCCATTGATTGTTTTTATATCAGATTTTGGGAATATAAAAGTTATTTAAAATACATGTTAAATTTCAAATACAAATATGAAGAAAAATTTTCATATCCCGAGCGACTAGTAGTGACTAGTGACTAGTAGTGACTGTAGTTCAGAAAATTGGCAAAGTAACAAGCAATAAAAAGTACCAACAGTACGTGTAGACCAATACCACCGGTGCCGCGTCGATTTTAAATTTAACTCTGTAAAGTAGTCGAATTGTAAAAAAAGTTTTGGTACTTTAACGTTTCAGCGATATTTTCCATTTGTATTTTATGTAATTCATCGGAACTTGATAAAAAAAGAGGATTTAAATGAAACTGAACTGAAATGTTTTCGTATTTAACGAGTTTATATTTTGAATTTTACACTCATATTTTGATTCCACGTAATTGGCAGCATAAAAATATTAAACGATTTCTGAGTAAACATTTAAACAGTTAGATATATTTTAGAATTTACATTCATTCAAATGTTGTTTACATTTTATTTAATAGTTTTGTTTTATTTACACATGAAAATCTTAAAAAGTGATTTAAAAAAAATAGATTAAGTAACTGCATTCAAGTACTTGAAAGACATCCTGAGCATCATCTTTAAATAAAAAAAAGTCGTGTTAGTTACACTATATATGTATAAATCAAGAACAGCTGCACGGGTTTGGCTGAAAATTGGTGAAGAAATAGCTTAGAACCAGGAAAGGGATATAGGGTACTTTTAATGCGATTGAAAAAGAAAAAACTAAATTGGGCAAAATCTTCTTATCTACTGTCTTTAAGGAGGAATAGACTTCGCTCGGTCAGCTATATATTTCTAACTCTGAAACTCACGCAGACAAAGTTGTGGGAAAAACTATTATCTTATAAATACTTTATTTTGTGATTATTATTAGAGTTACACATAAACAATAAAGTGGTATATACTATTATAATTATATTATCTTTGAACATTATTAGTTTTTATTTTTATGTATTCTATAAAAGAAGAATCTGCATGTTAAAGATCACTCTTGCAATCGCATGACAACGTGCAAAGAGAACTCTAGAATAAAACATTCATGTTGAAATGGAACTACAATGGATAGACTTATGTTTCAGTTCTGTTAATAGGTCACTTATCTTTTTGTGACCCATTTAATCTGCCGCTCCGTGGAAAACAATAAAATATTAAAACTTTTATATTTTTGTTTCGAACCAATATCATGATACGTTCAGCTTTAAATAAACCAATGAACGCTTCATGAACCTTCCATGAAATCTAAACATCGCAACACAACATTAAAATGAAAAGTTTATATCACTGTATTCATAAAATTCTTACCAAAGATAAAACTGGGATGAATAGGAACTAAAGTAGAACATCTGTTAGGCCATTTCAAGTAGCAAGAGCAAAAGAATTGTCTACCGCAGAGTCTAATACATGTAAACTAAAATGTAAAGAGGTTCTATTCAGGCCTTTAGTTGTACTAAAAACGTAGAATAAGTTATTGTGTTGCCTATATTGTGATAGTGCAATATTCTATTACACATTTATTTAATTTAAAAAATTCCCCTTTTTGTTTCGTGATCTGATTTCACTTCTAGTGAATTCTTCTGTTACATTTTCTATTACTCTCAGATGTCTGTAGACGTGCTAAATCCTAGCAATGAATAGATTGCCTTGTCTCCTATATTTATTTTTACCAATGTTGAGGAGACTTTTATATAATTATATTATATAATATTTTTTCAAGGATTGGAAATATAGAAATATTTTCATACAGTAATAT